CTTCTACGTTGGCTCCACAGCTATCGGCATCCCCCACCGCGAGCACAATCGCCGCGCCAAACTCAAACAACTCCAAAACAACATTCCCATTTCTGCAGAACTCTCCTTACGTTATTGGCATTCACACAACAACATCCACCACTACACCACTATTCAACTCACCTCCCATGACACATACGACCAAGCCTGGATCCAAGAGCACCACTACATCGCCAACTGGATGCCTTCACTCAACTGGCCTTTCATTTCCCACCACCTCAAACTCAAAGCTCAGGGATGGCAGTTCGCAAAACACAGAGCCCACTTCTACTCCAGACTAGCCACCCACAAACGACTGTTCCGACGCCTTCGACAACGCCAGTACACCCTCAGGGAACCACACCTCTACACTTCCACTAAGCATCACGCCCTCCAACTTCTTCGCAACCTTACCAAACACACCGCAGCCTCGTTTGAGGCAGCCAAACAGATAAGAAGCGGCCGCCACACAGACCTCGAGGTGTATGCAATCCGGCGTATGGCCGCAAATTTGGAAGAACCTGGCCGCAGCCGAGCTCTCCACATCCTCAACAAAGCCTTGATCTACCGCAACCTCACGCCACCAAAGCCAAACATCCCATTGACAGTGCCCTTCTTGGCCCATGACGACTTTACCAAGTACTGCCAACAATGGCTTCGTACCACCATCCAGCAGCACAAGCATTTCACCATTCCCCTCCACCTCCCCTCCCACAGACTGAGGGAAGCCGCCCACAAAACCCTCCGCTCCCACCTCCACAACCACCGCACATGGGAGGACACCCTCCACTCCCCGCCAGATCCAGCAGACCTCCCCTGTGCATGCGATCACCTTCGCACCCTCCTGCAGGATCCCGATACCCCCACCATCAACGGCCACTACATCCTTATACTTGACCAACTCCAACTCCCTACACACCTCAGCATTTTCCTCAACGCCAATATGAACAGCACCTATTACCCTAGCAAAGCTCGGTACTTCCTCATTTTCAAGACGGCCTATACCAAATGGCTCAAACTACAAGGGCTTCCACCATCCCTAGTTCAACACCTGCAGCCTTTCCTTGAGCACCAATGGCGCCTTCACAACGCACACCTCAAGCAGCAACCCCGTTTTACGGCCCGCCTGCTTCGTCAACTCCAAGAACATTTGGGCAAACACACATTACTCCACCATGCCGACCATGAGCTCCAACAACTCCGGCTGTTTTGCCCTCGCCAATATTTCACTGGCGCCTTGAATACCTGGCAATCCCCGGAACTTTTCGAACCACTTCCCTACATCACTGCCGCCAACATCCACGACCACCTGGCCGCCACTGTCCCCCCCATTTTGCGCACCCGCTACAAGTGGGGCTTTCGCAAAGATTTCAACATTCCTTACGGTGTCGTCCACCTCAAGGAGAAGAAGCACTGGCAAAAAGGCCGTACAATTATCTCATACTTCCAATCACTTAGTGGCAACCTACTTCGCATCACCAGCCGTGCTCTCGACATCATCCTCCAACACCTTTACCCTCAGCATCCCGGCCAAATGTCCATTCCCCAGCTTTGGCACCATTTTCACAGCTACCTCATCCAAACCCCACCAGACATCTCACTACACGCCACCAACGATGACCTGGTCGGCTTCTTCAACTCAGTCCCACAACACAGACTCATTGATGCTGTACACTCCCTCGTCCACCACTGGCAACAACAGCAGTCCACACACACCCTGACGGTGGATGTCCGGCAATCCTTTCCACCACTCACACATTGGCAGACACCATCGGAAACACCCTACCCAACGTACCATCCAAACGTCCGACATTACCACCATCGTGGCTTTCGCCCTCAACACATGCATTTTCCGGGCTTGCAACAATACTTACAAACAAATCCGAGGGGCCGGGATTGGATCCCAGCTCTCTCCAGCCCTATGCAATGTTGCCATCACCCTCATTGAGCACTCCTGGCATCAGATCCACAACAACCTCCTTCAACACACAGACCTCCACTTTACTTACTATCGATATGTCGACAACCGCTTCATTGTCCACAACGAACATTTCCTTCAACACCCGGCTATCCAAACCCTCATCCACCACAATTTCTTCGGCGACCCAGTTGAACTCGAACCGGTGGAGGATTTTCATCTCCTCGGCTTCAACATCGACCTCCCACAACGCACCATCACCTACATGCAACCTTCCCAACCCTGGAAAATCCGGGATTCCACCACCGCCGGGAGCCAGCGCTTGGCTCTATCAGGCCTCCAATCAAGACTCCACACCATTCGAAAATACACATTCCCACCCTCCAGCGCTGACGCTGCTGCGGCTGAACTCGTCAACCTATATGTCCAAAAGGGGCATAACTACCACGCCTGCCACCGGTTTTTGAAAAAAGCGCCGAATGCGGCGACCTGTGTGTGTCCCACCCTGGACAAAGGGTCTTACCCCACCACTTTTCCACAGGCAGGGGGGCAATGCACGACTGACAGACATTGCCCAACGAAGACACTGTCAGCTCGTGGTGAAGCAATGCGGGACGCCGCATTGTGTACCTGCCAGTTCGGAACTGTTGCACACGCAGTCTACTCCTTTGGTTTGTTTCATGGTGGTTCCACATGATACTTTCCCCACAAACAGGTTTCCCACTGCACAGCAGCTGCTGACCGCCACCTCCATTTGCGCTTGTCGTGAAACCTGTGTTAAACAATACACTTTCGGCTGACCTTTCCACCTTGCCGTTCCATCGCCTTTTTCCCATTGAGACAATTGCGTTAACTGAAAATCCAAGTTCGAAGTTCGAAGTGTGTGTCAACTCCTGTTTCCAAGGAGCACGACCACATTAATTCCACCTTAATCCCTCTAGGTTTCAAGCTGTACAGATAAGCAGGGGGCCGGAGCCAGGTGGGGGGTTTCCGGCCAACGAAGACACCCCCCACCTGGGTGTAAACGTACCTGCGCATGTTCCTTTAATTTTGAAACCAAGTGATGTAAACAATATTGTTTCGGACTTATTCACATTGCCGTTCCCTCTCAGGGCTGTTTCTCAGGTATCAGGCAGGTTCCAGAACTCTAAACCGGTAATGTAAGCACTAGAGTGGAGTTCCAATCTGATTAGCTCTTGCGAGTATGGATCGAAGTGTGTCAGCCCCTGTCTCCAAGGGATTGCAACTTCACACGACTCTTTCTCTATTTCTTTCTTTCTTTATTTCTTTGCTTGGATTGAATGCAAGAAAGAACTTTTAACATTAGCCGAGCAGGGGGACTGCCTGACTCGTAACAGTGGCATTCCAACGAAGAGGCTGTTATGAGTCACTGATATGGATTCCGGACGCGAAAGCCACGTACCTGCTTTTGGGGAAGCTGAGTGTTTTATGATTTGTTGGACTCCTTCACCTTTCCGTTTGCACAGGGCCATTTCCAGGTAATTTTGACAGGTTGTCTGATGCAGTATCATAAAGTAGTAACACATGACAACTACTGAAGTGTGCTCTAGCGAGCTCTCTTCTAAGTGTGTGCCAGGTTTGATGGTTCGTTTTGACATGTTTTGACGCCAGGAAATCCAAGAGCCTGCAGGCAAGGCTTGTGGTAGCTTTCTTGGTTCCAAACAAAAACCATCTAGCTCATTGCTCAGCTGGAACAATCCCATAAGTTGATTCAATTCCTTGTAATAGCATTGTACAATGATTTGGGTGCAAGATTTGTCCATTAGGGGGTCATCCAAATATCCAAGTTCCGTTTCCATCTTTTCCAGCCAATGGTTCACTGGGTTGCCACGTTAGGTTTGGAGGTTCACCACTCGTCCGGCCAGTCCCGACCGCAGTCCTTGAGGAATCGAGGCATTGACGGAAGCGTCTGCCCGGGACATCCAAACCAGGTCGCCCTGGGTGAAAGCCTCTCAGGCATGGAAGACCAAGGAGGAACTGGCTTGGATCACATGGAGCAGCCTCAACAATGATGTACCACTATAGATACCCGGGCAAATGGATGTTGGAGGATGAATCAGCGGTTGACCGAGGATTCTCCCCTGAAACTTGTCAGTTGTGCAGTGCATCAGTGCCCAACAGCCAAACTTGCTGGCTGTGGGTCATGGTATCCTGGAACCAGCCTCTCCTGGCTCATATCCCAAGATGAACAAAACAAACTACAAATGCCTTGACCGGGTGCAGAGTCGGGAGTTTCTAGCGACCAAGGATTGAAGGTGTGGACATGTTGACACGCAGGAAACACGTGTTGGAGGCCGTTGCTCTTAGGTTGGAGGCCAATGGAGGCCATCGCTCTTCGGTTGAAGGCCATCGCTTCTAGGGTGAAGGCCATTGCTAGTAGGTTGGGATCAGCTCAAAGGATCCCTCCGTTCACCGTCCTCCACGCCCCGTGTCCTCGATGGGTCGACCAGGGCCCAACCAGTTGGAGAGGTGTGAAGCTGAGCCGGTCCACCATGAGGTCAGGGACTGGCTCAACTGATCAACTAACTACTGACTGATGATTGAAGACATCCAAGAAACATCTGGAATCCCCGAACACACACTAAAGACGCTAAACATCTATAAGAATCTAGTGGTGTACTCCCACCTCTTGCAGGACGTTTTCGGTGGTAGACTGGCCTGGCCACTCCTTCTGCTGAGAGCCAACAGCCGTCAGCAGCCCAATCGGCAGGTGCCATGATCGCTTATGCACATCTTGCGGTCAGCAACCCTTCACCGAGGTGCAAAAAAGCCTTCTGATGTGACTTCTTGTCAACTCTCCCAAACAGGATGGCGAGACTTCCATCTAACTCATCTGTGACACAGCTTGCTTGGTGAATAATTCAACTAAAGCAAGCTGTTGTGCCAAGGTATCTGAAGTTGATAAAACAGGACTTGCCGTGAAAATACACCGAAAGCATCCGAAAGTGGTTGCATGTAACGTTCATCTTTGAGTGTGGAACATGTCCAAAACACTTCGAACACGGTTGTGTTGGACCTCCACTGCCAGTCTCTCCCTGCGTGCCTGCGCCATAGCCACCCACTGCAGCTAAATACGAACCACTGGCCTGAGCAGCATCGACGAAGGCGATGATGCTTCCCACCCAAGTCAGAGCCAATTCCAGAAACCTGCTGTTGGTTCAATGCTGTTAAGGATGCTGATGATGGCATTCAGAGGGAACCGATATGAACCGATGGGTTTCCGCTGCTTCGTCCCTTCTGACCATGTGGGGTGGTTGTCTCTGGATGCGGTCGCGTCGTCCGACTGCAGGAAAGCTTTTATGGAACACTTCCTGGAAGTGTTCCAATGGTCGATCGTGGGACCTGTGGGACCCCCCGGTCGGTCAGTTCCAATAGACGATGTCACAGAAGATATCAAATGAGAAGCGGACCTCTGGCAGCATTCTTGTCAACTGCTGCATCCCTACCATCCCAACCCCCGCATGCTACTCATCCTGTTTTGCAGCTCTTCCTCTCCATCTCGCCCTCACCAGATCCAAGCTAGCTGACGTCCTCCCCCACTGGGCGCCCCAACGCAAACGCCGAAGACTAACGACTTGGGCACCTGGGCCTTGACGGCCAGGAAGATCAGGGGCACATAGGTGAAGGGCTGAGGCCTCGAAAGACTTTCCAGCTCCAAGGATTTCGACAAATGAAAAAGGCAACGACCCGGGTCGAAAACGGGTGGATGAACGTCATCCGTTCGGGATCCACGGTCAAAAAGAAAAGAACCTTGGCTCAGGAGCACATTGAATGGAACGCAACTCCTGCGTGCTCAACATATCATGGTCTTTTATGGTCATTTATGGAATCCTCAAATTAACGGAATGCAAGTGATTCCAGTTTCTGTCTATACATTTGGACCAAACAACTCTTGGTAGGTAGGGGCAAAAAACAAAGAACCACCAGCTACAGTTCTACCTAGTTTTAACATGTTCTAACCTATCAGAAACCGCACATGCTGAGTAGGAGCTACTTGGAACACCTTCCTACTACACCTTGACCTATCGGCTGGGCACCGTACAGCCCATCACCAATCAGGACGGCCACGAAGAGCCCCGGCATCCTCGCTGCGCAACCGACGGCGAGTGGTGCTTGACCCAGATCGGCACCTTCAAAATATCCCGTGAAGCATGGTGAAAGAAGGTCTGCCTTGGATTGACCCAAGGGAACACATATAGGTCAAACATGTTTTAAACTCTTTGAACCAAAATTTGAAGTGTTGGTTTGGTCAAGCACTCATTGGACTTGCAGATTCCTCACGGCTCTGGGACTGTTTGGGGTTTGGAAAGATAGATGTGTTTGTTCAGGGATGTTTGGGATTTCATGCATGGTTTTATGTGTGCAAGGCTGAAAAACAACACAAAACGCATGACATCTCAAATCTAGCAACTTGCATGGTTTCAGCAGTAGACACACGCAAAAGAACCTGTGAGTTGGGCCATGCCATTTGGAAGAAATCCGCCAAGACGGTCTGTCTTCAGGTTTTAAGTGGTAAACTCAGAGGTTCCCCATTCACAGGTGACTTGCCATTTGTCCTCTTGTTCTCCCCAAACTCCGGGAACCCCCACCCGATGGAATCGATAATGGTCTTGGAGAAGGCTGTGACTTGGTCCTGGACGTGGCTGCCGGTGACTGGCGATGCACAGCGGACAAAGGAGCAGTCACGTTGGGTTACACGTGGGTCGCATCATGCCGCCTCCCCAGAGGTTCGTTTTTCATCTGTTCCCTTCAAATCCTTCGTGATAGGATGTGCTGGTTCAAGAACGTTCACAGATTCGCTCTTTATTGATGAGCTGACTATTATTTCACCCTGTACCCGGTCCGGCCCGGTCCTTTGTTTTTTGAGTTCTAGGCCATTCCCGTCTGAGTTTTTTGGCCGTGCTGTGCTCAGCCGGAGACCATCGCCACTCATATGTATAGTGCATGGCAGGGATCTAAGTGACGCATAATACCTGTGGACAACCTTGTGTTTCCTTGTATTATCAGGTATTTCCGGAGACCATACGCCAGGGATCTAAGTGACGTACCTGTACCTTGTGTTTCCTTTTCAAACTTGGAGGACTCGGCACTCACTTCCACGGCCAGTTTAACGAGTGCAGGTTTCGACTCGGCAAACCGGAACGAGCACTGTCCTTTGCAAAGATCTCCAAAAGAAGAGTGATGATCAGAAAGACCGTCCTTGGGAACGAAGGGCAGCTCCTTTGGAGCGAGACACAGCTGAGTGAACAAAAACACCGCTTTGCACGGCACAGTGACGCACGGAAGTCGAAGTGAACAAATGCCTCAATAAAACCAGGTAGTATAAACATCAAGGAAGTTCAAGTTTCCAGTATCTCCAATCGATTCGACAAAGCAGGTCACCGGCTGGTCATCTTGTTTTGCATAGGAACGGGACCAAGCGGGGAATATCAAAACGTAGCAAGTACGTCACTTCGGCGTCCCAAAGTCATGTCACGACACGATGGAAAGGTCTTCGTTGGGCAGTGCTTTCCAAAGTGTCCATTGCCCCCCGTGCATTGCTCATTGCGGTGGATGCTGGTGGTATTAAAAGGTCAGTTGAAAAGCCAAAAAGGCTCCCTATGATTCCAAGGGCTACACACACGCAGTGTCAATCACCATCGGTTGTTTTTCCAGTAGGGGGGCACACCCGCCATCCACCGACATGAGCCAAAGCACAAGGTCAAAAAGAATTTGACAGCAAACCGTTGCCAGGGAACGGTAGCAGTCAACTCCTGGGCGTAGAAACAATGAACACAATGGAAACTCTCTTTCTGGTGCTGTTCTCCAATCTAACAGGCTAACAGGCAAACAAACTAAAACCCATTCCGTTTGAGAGACGAGCATTGCAAGCCAGGGAAACTCTGGTGCACACATCTTCAAACCACACACAAGTATCCTCTTCACTTCTTGCATCTTTGCCACTGCTATGATTGCTCTTTATTAGATACCCAATGCATTTGCTATAGCAAGCAAGCGGAACAACCGGCTCTCCCAGTGGTCCTGACTATCTTCAACCTGCAAAGAAAAATCAAACATACATATCATGAAAAACACCTTCAGGATCTGATCACAACAGCTAGCAGCTAGCCCAGCTGTCAGTATCTGTTAGTCAAACTCTGACTCCAGGCCAAAGTCTTCGAAGAACCTTACAGGCTTTCGGAGGAACAGTTGCAAGATACTTTAATGCCAGGGAAGTGGAGTTTGTATTTCAGCAACCCCTTGGATCTCTTCTTTCGGATGATCTATGATTACAACAATGTATGTAAAAGTTTATATAACTCACCAGAATCAACATCAGATCTATCGCTTGCTCAGAACATCGCCTCGAACACTTGTGGTGAGGGTGAAGCCTGGCCGCGGCTCTGCGGCTGTGCCAAGCGTTCTCCCCCCGTCAAGCAAACATTGCCTTTTGCAGAACGTCCCATCTCAACAGGTTGATTCAACCAGCAAACCAAAAACCCTCCGCAACCGTCTGCAATCGTCCGCAAGTGTCCAATGAGATCTTTCAAACATTTGTTCTCATGGGTCGTTGAATGCACGCAGGCCTCCTCGAGAACCTCGTGGTCCTTCAAGTCTGCCTGGGAGACTTGACTGATAAGGGAAGTTCTTCTGTCGTTGGGATGAGAAGTTCCAACTTCCTACGAACGGTTGCAAAGGAGAATGCTTCCAATGACTTAATCATTACCCAATAATCTCAAACGCAAAGTTCTGGCTGTAATTATTTGTTTTCTTCATCTGTAGCCTGATCACACACATATACTCTTGGAAAAAGTGGTGACTCCATGAATACCCACAACAAGAAGTGACGCCAGATGACCCCAAATGGACATTAGCCAAGGCATCCAAGTGTCCAACATTATCAAAGAAGAATCCCAATCTATAACCTTTTCGCAGTTGATGTTTCTTGTTGGTCACTTAGTTAGTTGTAAAGAATAAATCTTGACAGCAGACGAGCTTCGCAAGTAGTTTGGATAGTGCAAGCTGTAACAAAAAGACACCTTGCCTTGCAGTATGTAGCAGTTGAAGGTGAAGGGGGAAGTTGCATGGCTTATACATCAGCTGATGATGTAAAGAGGTCAAATATGGTCATGTCAACACCACCCATCACCACACCATATTTGTCATAAGTCCTGACCGCATCTTTCACTCGTTCGGGCCGCCTGAGCTTCTGCGTCATCGGGGTCGCGCATCCTGCACCAACGCCAGCGCTTTCAAAAATGACTCTCTGAGCTGAGCAACGAACACAGAGAGCCATCTCTGCGATTCTCAAGGACTGAAACAATCACAAAGACTGAACAAAGAGGCAATGGTCCATCGACCCTGGTGTTCCACTTTCTTTCTTAGACGTGGTGTGTCTGAACTCAATCGTGTGCTAAGAATGGGACGCATATGAGGTGCAAGAATGCTCAAAATACCTAGATGGGCTGGGCTACGAACCGCTCAACCTTGATATTGAAATAGTCTCTTTGTGCTTTTGCAGGCACTCTGGCTGAGCGGCCTTTCCCTCCCAAATCACCACTTGGACAAAAAGCTAAGATGGGGGCACGTGAATTATTCCTGCAGGGTTGCCATTGGTTCTTGGATGAAACAACTTCTGACTCAAATTCAGCGTATCACCTCCTGACAGGACATCAGCAATCCCTGACATGTCCGCTGACAGTTGTTGCATGTTGTCGCTAAAGCCCCGGCAGTCCGCACTGTCCTATCTGCAACGAGCAATGGATCCAAGCGTACTTCCCGTTGAGCCCACCTCGAACACCACGTCCACACGGAAAAATTAACAACATCTCGCACTTGACAACTGCGGCATTGAGAGCTGGATAGATAAAGCCGGGAGGATGGTTAAACTTTTGGGGGATCTTTTTCTGTGGGGGTGGGGCGGGCGGGGGTCTTCCAATGACAATCGCCGATGTTCAGAACACGACCTCCAGAGGTTCACCGAGGAGCCCCGACATGCATTGCCGGCACACCTCGGCTTCCGGATTGCAACGCGTGGTGCTGGTGAGTATGGGGATCAAATTGACGGGAGCTGGTGAAACCTCTGGTAGAAAAAGATAGGAAAAATAATCTGAGCCCAAAGGCATCGAGGAGAAATACATCTGCAGGATTCTGCAGGGGCTCTCCAGTAATTCAACCAAATTCTGTGAGCAATTAACCAAATTCTGTTCGAATTCAAATTAAACCCTAAACCAACTGGCAATCATCCAGAACGACCTAAAGACTGCTAAGATCCTCCACAAACCAAAGGATCCAAGGGTCGACCCCAACACCATAGACTTGTGGTCCATAGAATCCACCGCGACTGAGGCCGATTAGTAGCGTCCTTGCTCCTAGTAGCGATGCCAGGAGCCCCTAGTAGCGTCCTTGCTCCCAAATAGTATGCTACTACTTATGCTACTGTATGCTAGATATGTCCTGCCGGAGCCATGATGAGCCATGGCACCTCAGCCCTCAAGCTCGACCATCATGGCGACCATCGGACCAAGTGCTGGCGACCCAACAAGTGTAGGGGAAGATGTAGCTGGTCGTAGCTGGTCAATGGTCACATGTCTGGGAGATGGGAGATGTGACTGAGTGGATGGGCTTCCAGGTGTCGAACATTTTGATATGGCGTGATGTCCACAGTTGCTGCTCTTCTTTGGCGTCGTCATCAGTCAGATTCTCCATATCAAGCCAAAATTAGAGCTGGTTTGTGAGCATGAGATGATCTGCTACAATGCTATAACCTGCATGGGTCGTTTCAGGTCTTTTCCATGTTGCAGGGATACTTGGGAAGTCCTCACTCTTGAGAATGTTTTGAAAAGCATGTAAGATGTTCGACTGTTTGTCAAAAAACACACAGACATGGAATCAAATGGGTCGTAGACTCCTGTCAAGCAGGACTTTGGTAGCACATGGTAGCACCAGGAAAGGACTGCTTGGGCCTCCCACCTCGTGAGGATCCAAACATCGACAACTGAAAACAGTGGATTCAGCAAGCTCACTCATATCGTGCACTTTGCAAACAAGCCGAGCCCTCCTGGTTCGCAGATGTTCGCAGAACTCTTTTTGCTTATCTCTTTTACTTCCCTTCAACTTCTGGTCCTCAGCCCTTTAAAACCAGGTGAAACTCGGCCCATCAGCCGCACTGCACAAAGAAGGCGCTGCAGACCGCGCCAAAGGGCGCGCATCGGTCCTTCACTTCGGCCGTTTCCGCCGGACACGGCCGTGTCGGCCGTGGGGGGATGGAGCAGAAGCCGCTGCGGAGCTCTCCGACTTGACGCCTGGATGCCAAAAAGCCGGAAATCGTGGGAGAACAGCTTGAGTACTTGCTTGAGTCCGAAGGTGCGTTCAATGGTCTTAGTTCCTTTGGGATCCTTTTAGGAGCTCCAAAATGCTGAACAATCACAGGATTTGGGGAAGTCTTGGGCCATTCTTAAGCCAAGGAACTGACAGGATTCGATTCCAGTGACCTTTCTGCACGGCGCTTGAGTCTGCGCTTCCGCATCACGATCACCCGAACTTTCACCTCAAGTCGTCCTCTCATTTTCTCCTGGAACTGTTTCAAACACCACAACCTGCGATTGTTCCGGCACACCAATCGGCCATCGCTATGCATCACGCAACGGAGCCTCAAGAAATGGGCGGAGGGAGAGCATTGCCCTCCGATCAGGTCGTAAACGAGGTGGCGCAAGGGATATCCATTGTCAAAGTGCGATTCCTCAACCTCTCGTGCCAAGGGCAAGGAGTCCACAAGAATTTCTCTTTCTTCATACCTCGAGCTGCTTAGCTTCCGACTTCCGGAGCCTTCAGAAGGCCGAACCTCATTGGAGAAGGCTTCCGGCCAAGAAAAAACAAAAGGCTGGCTGCACCCTTTCAGTCTAACCCATTGGCTTGACAGCTGTTATGGCCCAAATGAGTGAGTGAGTGTCTTACACTGCCAACCGTTTCCTTCCCCTGCAGGAGACAAACCCAAAGAAGAAAAACATCAGAAACATCTTCCAAGACACACTCTCTGCCGGTTCTCTGGGTGGGCTTTCACTCTCTGACTTTTCCCTCTCGCACCTCTCAGCTCGCGCGCTTCCTCGCCCTCGCGCAGCAGCGCGAGCTGTCTCGACGTCCCGTCCAGAATTCACCGTGTCGCGACCCGCCTGGCGTGAGATCCTCTCCCAAAGCTCATTTTGAGTCTCATCTTGTCGTCGCAGCGCTCCATGGGTAGCTAAGAAGTTGGCCACCTCACCACAAGACCTTGAAGCGTCATAGTAGCCATCAATGAGAAATCTCATCTCATAGAAGATGGAGGTGTCTAATGGAGTTTCATGAAACCTGTTGGTAGCGTTGATATTCGCACCTGCTCTTACCAATTCCTGTGCCATCTCTAGAGCTGTGTCATAGCCACACCGCCCGGCTGCGTGTAGGGCTGTGTCCCCGCCCAGGTCCATCTCCTCCAGATTGGGACGATTCACTGAGCGGAGCAAGCTGCGCAGCAAAAGTAGATCACGATCAAAGATCGCTCTGCTCAAGGGTGTGGAAGCCATGCTCATGCATCGTTCTGCCTCCCTCGTGCAGCATCCATGGCGGATGGAACAAACAACTGAAGGAACACCAGTGGACAAAGGACCAGGAGTAGTCTGCTTTCCTCAGATAATGAAGTCGTCTGGAGTAAACAACAGGAGCCCACCAGCCTCTCCAAGAAGCTTTCTCAATATTTCTCAATCCCATCCAAGATCATCCAAGATCTATATTGCAAAAATATATTATATATATATAGAGATCCAAGGGGACTATTATGAGACTATCAGCCAGGGCTGTCTCAAAATGACAGAAAACCTCCAATCTGTGAAGGCCATCTTCATCTGTCTATTGCGTTCAGGGTTCTTGGGTCCCGTGTGAGACACACAACATGTGGGAACTGCTTGGCGCACAAAGCTAGCTCGCTTGCTCCGACCGAGAACATCGGCCCTACAGCCAGATCGATGACACCATTCACCGGAATGACGGACTAACTTGGGGCAGTGAAGCAAGCAAGCCACAAGGAATCCCCCACACACCAGCTAGGGCCCTAGGGGTGTATCAAAGAAGCTTTTCTATATAGCAAACCCCTGATTGGAGGACTGGTTGAACACGACTAGTTGATGACTTCCCTTTTCCGAGGCCGGACACCGGACACCCTGGAAACCCATCCACTGGTTCACTGTAGAACAACACTGCAGAATGGAAGCTGCCCTGCGAAGTGCATACAGATCCAAACCATGACCAGCATTTTGGTCAAAAGCGCGGAGGAAGAGGTGTGGGACTTTCCAGTTTCACTCCCGCTGACCTTTCGTGCTAGACTGTATCAGCTTCGAACTTTGCTTGGTTCAAATCTGGCGATTCTGCTGGCACCGAAAGAACCACTTTCTCAAACACGACGGTGCATCGATTCTGCTGGCACCATTGACAGGCCTTTTTTTCGATAACGCAGGCACTGTCAACTAAAGCGAAAAAATGATCCCGGCGTTCCCTCTGGGACCAACGCCGAATTGGAAACGATTCTCCAGCTTACAGTCGGAGGCCTAAAGGACCACCCTTGATGCTTGAGCAAAGCATGTATCACTGAATCCAGATTGTCTACCAGGCACAGGTTCAGTTTATGGGTTGGTCTGGGAAAACAATGACATCCTGTCATCCTGCTGCTGGTTTCTTGGTGTTCAATATGCTTCAATATTTTGCAACATGTACCAGTCTGATCATGCAACAAGAAACAGCATAGCTACGGCGGGCTGCGCCGCGGGTCCCTCGGGAGGGCTGCGAAAGGTCCCCCTCCGCAGAGTCTCTGATGTTAAAAGCGACGGGTCAACAAATGCCAAAAGAAATAACGCCAAACCTGTGGTGCATGTCCCTTGCAGGTCAAGTCTTGCGTTGAATATTATATCGTATATATATATATATTAATTCGATGGTTAGTTTATTAGCAAGTCTCCTTTTATGGCATTTGTCATGCGCTTTCTTTGTTTCATGGCCTCCATCGTTCCATCGTTCGCATCCGATCATCTGGTCTCACACTCCACTCGCCAGCGCAGCTTTGGCGCGCTCACAAACCTCGGTGAGCAGCAACCGAATTGACCCCAAATATCCCAAACTGAACAGGGATACTAACAGGGATATATTACTTGAGATTGTTTGGAGTTGTTTGGACTTCCTGTTTTGGGGCTTACAAGACACAAGATACAAGTTGAGCTTTTCACATACGCCTTCCATGTCTTGTCGTCCTAAGCGGCTTTGTCTCAGAACAAGAAGTCTGCAATATGGTTTTCATCATTGTTAATTCGCTTGGTCATAATAGGTCATATGGATTTTGCTCGTGTGCAGGTGCACGCCATGCAGTACTATAGTACTACGGCAGTCTTCAATCCGCGAGACCTTTTTCATTGACGGATCCAGCCGATGCCCACCCATCACCCACCAGATCCGCATGACTCGTCTGTTTGACTGCCTAGAAGCCACATGAAGAGTATCCATGGGATCTGGTGGGCTCAGCTGCTGGGCTTGCTCCTCCACTCCTGGGCTCAGCGCGGAAAACCGAGCAGGCCGAGCGGCGTACAATTCACCGGTTCCCTTGGGCCCCAAGTAGATTTGAAAGGGAAAATGTTTGGAATCATCAACCATTACTATACCATCCAAGCAAGCGCGAATGGCCAACCAAATGGTACGAACAACTCCTTCCCAATGGTTTCAGGCTCCCCGTCGGTCTCCCGTCCGTCGGTCTCCCGTCTCAGCCTCGAAGCTCCGCCCTGGCCACACAGCTGGCCAGCGAGTGGAGAAAGACCTCGTCGGGCATCTGCACCGTGGGCCACGGCGTCGCCTGGCGGCGACAAGTGAAGAGGATAACAGGAGGACTTGCATGGGTACAGGTATGCAGGCTGCATGCATCAGGTCTATCTAGCAAGCTCCCATGGAATGGCTCCACAAATCGAAACAATTTGTGAGGCAAACAGAACTCTAGGGGCATGTTGGGGCATGTCCAATCTCCGGCCTCTTGGTCCTGACTCGTAGCTTCATGACAGGCTTCTTCCCACGACCTCTGCGGGAGCGAACTCTGCGCTGGCCCCACCAGTTTCGTGTGAAGGAGCATAGTTGGGCCACGATCTTTCTCTATCGGGGAACGGAAAGCCACGGACCACACAGTACTGCGGCACTGGAGATTTTGGCCCTAAACCCCAAACCGACCGTCCAATTTCCATCATCGAATGCCACACGCTCGCGGCCTCCGCACTGGATGCTCCAGCGGATAGCGCTTGAACTGTGCCGCAGCGCGTAGCGCCGGCTCCAGCGCCGCTCGAAGGGGCCTCGACTCGCCTCAGTCCACTCGGGTGGAACCACCCGCCACCCGCTGTTCCAAAGGAACATACGAGCTTGGGTGAAGAACCATGGGACCATGACATGAGCCATTTCATATCATGTCCATTTGCATGAAAGAATGGATCTTCTGGCATCATTCGGCAGTGTAGAATAATTGGTCATGAGAATGAGAAGCAATGATCCATCTCTGCGGATCCTTGACACACCGCAAAAAGCACACTCGGTCATGCACATCAGCTCCGACTGTGGCATCCTTCTTACAATAACATACCATTGCAAATAAAATCAAACAATAGGTATAGTAATATTGATAATATATAGTAGTGTGTAGTTTTCTTGAATCTGCATCCACAACATTGGCAAGACCCTTGACCCCTGGATACCGGATACCGTCGGATCCCCCACCCACAGTGCCTTGTTCTGCTTCCTGGACCTCATCCATCCATAGCCCCCTCATGTCCTGCCATCCACATATCATATATCCCCTATAATCCCCTCATACTGTACAACTCTAAACTCCTGCCCAGTGGCACACGTCCGAGATGGTCGCATGGCTACTGGAGCCTTCTGAGCGCCGTCCGCCCACGTGGGGCGCCACGTCGAAGGCCCGGGCCACTCGCGCGGCGGGGCCGGCGGGGGCAGCGGCACGTTCCGGGAGCTGTGCCTCAGCGGTGGGTGGAGATATGGCGCGGTGAAGCGGGAAGGTGTTCACGGTGAAGCTGTGACAAGAGCTGTTCAACTAATTATATACTGTCCTTTGGGATATGATGAAAGTTGCATAAAGTGGCATATAGCATCAGATGCCATCAGTTTTCGCAGGTGTACACCCAGGACATGAGGATCGAAATGGATACAATTGCTACAATTACCACAGCGTGGACTAGATGGTACCTCTTCTTCGGCGATTCGACCTGGCTTCGCCTACTCACCAGGGTAGAAGCCGTTGAGGCCATGTCCACATCAACACACAAGACACAGAACCCAAGGACCAGAAGAAACACAGTCACTAAAAGTTGACCTTGCTTTTTGATGGAAGGACTCTTCACAAAATGTCAGAAATCCTTGTGATCCTTCATGGTTTGTTTTACCTGTCAGTCACTACCTCGGAAGTGGAGCCATCAGCAGCGCACCTGAAAGCTGCTAAAGTCAAAGGTGGCAAAGACCTCCTCCTCAGCAAGAATCTGGACAGGAAATCACATACCGCTGACGATTCTGCAGAATAGATTGTCCTCAGGAATAGAAACCGCACACCTTTCACAGTAAACAACATCACAGCAGTTGGACATGGACTTCTACAATGTGTTTGGTTGTTGTTCATGTCTCTTGGACAAATCGACTGTCCGGTCATCACTCTAAGCCATGTCATTTGAACAAACAACATGATGTCTTCAAACGCGCAGCATACACCGTGGGCAAAAAATTGGTCATTGACAATGGAGAGATTCATTCAATACAGAAACGCAGCAACTCTTGAGCGACACCGTCTTTCATGCAAAGACATTCCCAGACTGAAGATCTTGGTCTTGGGAGGTCCGGTAATTCAAAGAGCAACACGTGCCAAGTATATCAAGTTTACCAGCAACATCGACCGATCCACATTCATCCACATCCCAACTGTGGAGAGATCTCCGAACAGGATCCGGACGGATTGTGCTGGATAGTAACGAAGGGCATCGCTACTAGGAGCAAGGACGCTACTAGGGGCGCTCCTGGCATTACTACTAGTTATACTATAGTAATTAGCAAATAGCAGTATGCCCTTTAAGGGCATCGCTACCACATTGGCTGCGTTGCTCCATCTCTCCCTGGCGCTCTCCTTTGCCCGGCTCCCCTCTGAGAGCATTCTTTCACAGCCTCAGAGGCGCCAGAAAACGTCCGACTGTCCGTCGATGAGCACGATGGGCACGATGGATTTCTGTCAGGTTGAGTTGTCTTTTTTTGCTTTCTTAGGAGCAAGGACGCTATGAGGGGCGCTCCTGGCCTTACTACTAGGAGCTTCATTGTTTCAGATTGTTTCTCTATGCCTTCTGTGGCCTTTGTTCACAGTGTGTATGGTTCTACGACGTTCTACGAACTAGACGCAACATGATGTGATTTAATTGGATGATAAAGGTGGTCAAAAGAGACCCGAGTCCCTAGTCTTTTGAACCAACAAATGAACAAGTGTTGAATCTTCCGCTTGGCCCCTGCCAGCAGCCCTGTGTCCACAACTGTTCCTGGAGGATGAGGACATCTGCTATGTACTCCGGTTGCCCTCGAGTAAATAAGAATGATCAAGGACGAATGGAATATGTGGAACATGTCCAGAAAAGATGTTCTCTGTACTGACTGCATGGTTTAGTTCTCAGCACATCGTTTCCGAGTTGGCTACACTGCCCTAATCCCCGCAACGTGGCAACGCCTGACAACACTAGTTCCTCGCCCGCTCGGCCCCTTTGGCAAGAAGTTCCCCCGAGAACCGCGGCCGTAGAGCCGCGAATCCATCCTTGGCCAAGTGAGAGCTGATCTTCGATTAGGACTCAGCTTGTGGAGGATGGAGGTTATTAATCGTGTTGAGGCAACCCCAAATCTTTGGGCTTTGCGAACCACTGGAAAAGTGAGTGCAGATTAGTCAGCACCAGTACTCCTGGTTCCACACTCTTCTTCTTGATAGCCTTGGGCCTTGATCATGTTGCAAGTGCGTCCATTCCACTGGCAGTTCACAAATTGCGTACAAACAAACAGCACCTCTTTTTGGGCGTGCAAAAAAAAAGGTACAAACAGTGCAGTAACCCCTGTGTTTATTGTTTTTAACGAACATGCTGACAATCCAAACAAACCTCAGGTGATGGACTATCTGTCACAAGGATTTCTGACTCCGTTTGAGATGTTGTGAGTACCTAAGAGGGTCATCCCCCAAAGGATGGGAGCTTCTTGAGGGCCCATGGAGCCTGAAAACAGCAATTTGAGGACCATGATTTCAACTGACATGGTCACCTTGCCAGTGCGCTGCGAAAAAGAAAAAGACAACAAGAAACAAGGAGTCCTCCTTGGATGGACGTCCTTTTCTGCTTGTTTCGGTCGAAACGCACCCGGTCTGAGATGCCCCCACTCTTGGACCGATTCCTCCACGGTGCGGAGCTGCTGTCCGAAGGAACTCATGGAGCCTCTGACGTGTGAACCGCTGAAGAACAGCATCCACCCACCCCCCTGCAACATTCAAGCAAACTAGCAAGCAGACCCTACATGTCCTATCATGTCCTGGTTATTTTTATTGGACCTTTTTGTTGGTGGCTCCAGGTGCACCACCGGAGGAAGCTCATGTCACTCATCTTGGGAGCTGCCTACTTCTCAAAACCTCCAGATGGCTCTAGGCACCAATGCATGCTGCTTTAGGTGGTCGATTCTCTCCCTATTAGGACTGTTTCTTGAGGTTTACAGTTTTGACCCATGATATATATATATATATAACAAACAAAAAGACATGCGACGTTTTGAAACCATCTCAAGTTACATAAGTTACCAATATAAACAAGTATATACTTGCAGAAAATGTCTGAGGTATTATCTCAACCATGTCACTTTGCAAGCCACCAACAAAGGGAGGCTTGATCCGTTGAGTCTGAAGGTCTCCTCCTGGGGATCCTTGGAATGGTTCGGTGCCTTGGAACATTCCTTGAGCATATTGAACCCCCAAAGCACCCGGATTCAGGTCTTAAGTTCGCATGCGGACTATCACCTGGATCCGAGTCTCCATTCAATTGTCCAGTCCATGCCCATCGTGTGATTATCCCAACAGGCTTCCCGACGATGGCAGCTTTCCGCCTGTCGGTGCGTCCAGGTGAGACCGAGAAAACCCATAAACTCACAGCCACATGAGGTGAATCCTGATGGATTCACCTTAAGCCCTTAAGCTCCAACATGAGATGGATTCCATTCCCATGATTGACAGGCCAAAGGCAAGGATCGTGAATCAAAATGGCTAGAGAAGAAGTTCTATATCTCCCAAGCGCGGAGATCTGCCGCTCTTTCACTCCATTCTCTATGAAGCCTTCCTGGACTGCTAGACGCAGGTGAATAGTCACAGCGTGGAACACAGAAAAGTGGTGTGGAATACATCCGCAAATATCCGCAAGTGGTTTTGTGGGAGCCAAACAAACACGAGAACATTCCCATTACACCTTCCACGCTGAGTCTTTTGGACATCGGCATTAGCACTGGACATGATCCCAATGTCAAAGCACCCACGGGATGGAAATAGATTCTCTGCATCTGGTTTACTGACAGAATAACATACACCCTTCCATCATCTTCCAGCCATTGTCACATTATGGATCCTCTAAAATGGCAACACACGGAAACCCAACAGACTTGGCGCTCTGCACCTTTTCCATCGCTAAGGTGGCCGTCTGCTGCAAAGCACCTCCCAGCATGGAAGACTGGGCGGGGCACCCTGATCGTCCCGCTTGGTGAGCGGAGCCGGGGCAAAGGACTGAAAAAGAAAGACACACCCTCCAAGATAGTATACACTACTATACGTGCAAGGGGCATAAGCGGCACATACACAGCTGAGCAGGACATATTCTGAAGATCCTTGTAAGCTGGAACTTGGAACATTCTGGAAAACTACCTCCCTCCATGGCCATGGCATGCACCACTATCTTCCACCGTCACTGGCTATCCTCCATGTGGAAAATAGATTAATTAAGATGCAACTTCGTCCTATCCCTCCAAAAGGATAAAGATTGTGTCTCGGCGTATGCTGGAAATTACTTTCCACCAGGTATGTTCCATTACCATCTCCCTTCTTTCAGAGAGGTTCAGAAGCACTGCCCACGACCCCGGCACACCCAGAAGCCTAGGCTACTGGACTCAGCATATCTCACAGCCTCGAGAGCCGAGACCGAGAAGTAGCTGTGAGACGAGGTCGGTGGGCGAGCGACTGACCCCGCCTTTTTGGACCGGAATGTATCTCTTCACCAGTGCCAGAAGCCCTTTGCACCCGTGTGTTGTCAAAAAAAGGACCAACAAAGCAAACAAACAAAGCCTCAAAGGATCTCAAAGGCCCAACAACTAGCGGGGATCCTAGTGGATTCTGAATCTGACAGAATGGACCCGACCTCGGGCGTCCCGGCACCGGCGGGGGCCGCGTCCCCCACGATCTCAGCGAGCTCCGCCACCGCATCCCAAACCTCGGACGCGGACCGACCAGACCAGCGTTTTTCACCGTTCAGATGTGAAAGGCTACAGAAACTCAGATGCGTGAGGAAAGGATCAAAGAGCCTGAGAAGACAACAACTCGCAAAAAACATGCAACTTGGGAAGATGAGTGACTCCGAAGATACAAAGCTGATCAGAAGAGGTGACAATGGCATACAATGGCTACGTTGAGAGCCCGCACAGCTGCCACCTCACGTGCACCACAAATAGACAGTCATGGTCTTCAAACGGCCACAAGTGGTGCTCTGGTTGGGAGGTGGGGCCAATCTGACAAAGGACCGTTGGACAGCTTACCCAGCCAACCCCAACATTGCTCATGTAGAACATGACCAAGGTGTCAGAAAAACGAAAACAACGAATGCGAACGAATGACTATGATTATATACACCAACAGACTTAAAGACCAAACACACCAAACTATCGTAAAACAACTGTTAAGTTCTAAGCAAATGCAATCGTCCTACTTGCTGAACAAGTCTTCCTGCAGCACCATAAATTTATAAATACGACAACTCATCTGATATGGTGGACCCACTTTCACGCACGAACCCCCCTGCAAGTTCAAGACTTCCAATGTTCCCTGATGTTCCTGGTGATGTCACCAGGATCTTAGAGTGCATCGATCAGCTTTGCCCGGCCCCCCCGGCTCAACGGTTTCCACTGCCCAGCCTCGGCCCGCAGCTCAGAGCCTTGGAAAAGAGATTGGCCAAAAGGAGCGTTTGAGTGTTGAACTGGCGCAAACTGCCCAAACCACCACGATCTCCAGGCTGATTGTTGACCACTGATGCTCAAATTGTTAGAACGTTGTCATTGTTGTCTGGTGCTCTCTGAACATTCTCTGTGATGCTGCAAGTGATGATGAATAGTTGTGATCTTGGACGTAGTTCGTGCTGTGTTTCTCTTGTGATGGCAATGGAGATGTATATAAGTTTCATTTGCGGCCACGATCGAACAGGTTCAGGTTCTTTCTTTCCTTTCTCAAACGCCCTTCTCAAGCCCTTGATCACCGTTTCACATCTTGCTGGGCCGGAGACCATTCAATTGGGACCTTGGCGAGATGAAGTTGAACATGGGTTGTAGGAAAACTACTCTCTTTCACATGGATTCTTTGCTGCTTCGTCTATTTCAGGAGGCCATCGCTCTTAGGTTGGAGGCCATTACTAAATAGTTGTTATTTGGGCTCCAAGATCGCCACATCTCGCCCTGGAACTCCGCCGCCTCAAAACCATCGACGTTGGTCGCCCAAGAGATGGGAAGTACATGATGAGAGTCCATACGCCTCTTTAGCTACTAGTAACAAGGACGCTATTAGGAGCAAAGGGCATCGCTACTAGGAGCAAGGACGCTACTAGTAGCTCCTGGCCTTACTACTAGTAACAAGGACGCTATTAGGTGGAGGCCATCGCAAGTAGGTTGGAGGCCATCGCTACTAGTAACAAGAAGCTACTAGTAGAATTCTCTCTTAATCATTACTTTTTCCAATCCCAGGAGAATCAAGCAACCAGGCTGCTTTGGAAAGTAATTCTGACTCGCCGACCTGAGATATTGCCAACAAAAGGACGGTCTGCTGGTCAAAATCAATTCACTGGTCACTGGTCACAGAGAATCAGAGAAACAAGTCCAAGCAAATCCAAGCAGCCTCAGGCAGAGCTGACCTCGGCGAGGGCTCCGGGGCCACAAGGACTGACGTTGACTTGAGGTGGCTCTGCTGAGAAAAGTTAAATCACCACCCTCCTCAAGTCCGTCACAGTATACAGGGTTCACATTTCAGTACCCATGATATGAGGTCGCACCCGAAAGAAGTGAGTGTAAATCCAATATCTATCAATCTTCTGTGTGTGTGCCCCATTGTGAATACCCACTGGTTAAGTTCCTATTCGGCCACACCTCCAACTCCTGGAATTGCCGTGTTGCATGTCTCTGCTGTGATGGGCCATCAAACTTATATCATGTTTAGCATACAAGCTCATCTACGGAGACCAACAAGAATACTAGGCCGTGCTACCGGCGTCCCGTTTTCATCAAACACCACCATGACCCTCTATGGACGATTCGGAGTCAATAAATAACTACGTATATGTCCTTCCAAATCCGTCCAACTGCGCCAGGGACATCACGCACTTTCTTCTTCTCGCCTGGGCTGTACACACCTCCCCGCAAAGAGTGAAAGCCTCCCTCGCGCTTGCTTGCTGGCTGAGAATCAACAGCTAGAAGGCACCTGAAGAAATGTTTGGATTGATCTATATACTGCCCTGCTTGCAACTATTTTGGATGGCCTAAGCTCTGGGTGTCTTCTGCCTCAATCCCAATCGTGCCAAATGTCTCCCAGAACTCCAATACAGCAAACTTCTTTGGCGCGACTTCGGCACATGAGCTCTGTACAATCCAACGCCCACGTGGGCGACGAGCGGAACTCGCTTCACCGTTGGGTCGGTTCACTCGAAACGACCTCCTTCTTGATCGATCTGGCAAGGCTGCCCCGCCTCAAATGGAAGGCCATGGAAGGCCATGCTGGGAAAGATGGAAGGGGTGAAACCTTCAGATCTGGTCAAAGGATACTAATCAAAACTTCAGCACATTTCAGCACCACTGTTTAGACATGCTTCGATGCCACAATCTTGAACAACTCTGTCTGGAAATGGCCTGGGTTCATGTCGTATGTATTTGATCGCAGAATCACTGTAGCTGGAAGCTACGTAGTAACAAGGGCTAGAAGCTACTAGTAACAACTGTTCTATGCATTTGGGGACACCTTCACATTCAAACTCGTTGCTTTATTGGTCACTTCTCGCCGCGTGGCGCACAGCAAGGGTCGGCCATCCAGCAGGACAAGCCCGTGTCCGGTCGACAAGCGCCGCGCTGCACGAGTCCAGGGGTTCTCAGGGCTGGAGATGTCCAGGAGTGGATACTTCCTGCGTTTTGTCAGAGGCTGGAGATACTTCCAGTCATGTCATGTCTTGAAGGACCAGTCTTGTCTTTCCACGGATCTAGGTTGAATTTTTGATGAATTTTGGAGATGAGGGATATTTTTCAAGCACATATAGAGGGTAATGGCCAAGCATCAGCGCTTGGCGTTGAATGTGCGCTTCACAGCCTCTTGGGGAGGCTTGATGATCGAGATTGACACTCCTTGAGGGCATTCTTGTCAATCAGGTTAACCTCCCAGGTAGTCTGTTCCTGGTAGCTTCTTGTTACTAGTAGTAAGGCCAGGAGCTACTGGTGGCGTCCTTGCTCCTAGTAGTAGTAGTAGTAGTAGTAGTAGTATATAAGTAGTAAGTAGAAAGTAGTAAGTAGTAAGTAGTAAGTAGAAGTAGTAGTAGTAGTAGTAGTAGCTTCAGAATGAAACTTCCTCGGATTGAGATCGGACTCTGACGGCTTTGGAGTTGTCCAACCCTCATGAATGAGCTTTGCACAAGGAGGCGCGTTGGCGTTCAGCGTGGCGCTCCGTTTCAGCAACCAACGCAAGTGCCTCACACAAAAGTTCAAACAACCAAGGAAAAGCTTCACTATGAACCGGGCAGAAACTACTGTAGTTTCCCCCCAAAAACGATTGCAATAAACCAAGAAACCCATTCCTTCAGGTCATCCCATCAAGGCATGCCATCCAACTTCGTTCCAACTCATCCAAGAACCTTCATTTTCTATCCTCCTCCCCCGTTCCCCGCTGTCCTCTCGCCATCCACTGCTTCCCCCAGCTGCGCCGCCTCCGGCGGCCGTGCCGCCGCTCTCCGCGCCGTTCTCCGCGCCGCGCGGCCCGGAGAAGCGGCGGCCACGAGGAGCCCGGCCTCGGAGGTGACGCCGTGGAGCTGGCGCGGCCGCAGGTTGCAAATCACCAAGACGCGTTGATGAAGACATAGCACATGGCCACCTACAGAGGAGCTGTTTTTTGTGGAGAGTGTGAGGTGTAGGAAGAAGGTGGTACAGGTGTGGCATGATTTGTCTTGCGGTTCTTGGTGAGGGATTTGGGGTGGGTGCAGTTGCAGCTGTGACCAGGCCCAACTTCTTTAGCTGAACCCAATCACTCATGCATGATCAAATCACGACCAAACCTTGGTTCCGGTGACAAATGACGAGTTTTCACTTACAACTATATAAACAGAAACATTTGCTTTTAGCCTCTTTCACTTGCCAGCGAGGAGATACCGTCGATGGGACCCCTGAACATCGTGACGAAACGACTGGGTTTGGTGTGTTCTTGACTTGCTGGTGGATGTTGTTGATCATGGTTGATCTATCAATCATGATACGTCACTGCCTGGGCTTTCTTCCTTTCCAAAATGAACACCTGCCTTGGACCACTTGCTTGGAGCGGTGCCCTAAGCTCACACGGCAAGAACTCAGGCTGCGGGAACCGGGCACTCCACAAACCTCGGGGCCCGAGCAGGACGGTCATAACTATGAAAAGGAGAGATGTCCAATGTACAGGTAAGGGTTGGGTACTGGGTTGGGTCTATGCTAATCATTGGAACAACGGATGATCTTGTTTGATATATATATAATTGTTGGTGGTCGGGCATGTTCCTCACCCAAGTAAAACCCTCTCAAAACAACCCTCAAGACAACGCAAAAAGGATGCTCTGCTTTTCTGCTGACTTCGTGGTCTTGGTGGGGTCTTCTCGCCCCGTTGAGGTGTCTTGACCTCAACTTCATCTAAAAGGGCTGCAAAGACATGCAGCATGCAAAAGCGTGTCATCTTTGTGCAGGGGTCATGCATCAACACTCCCCCTGTCTTCCTTGAAGACATCGTGATGCCATGCTCCTCACCACACGAGTACTCCAGGTCTAGGACCCTTCTTCCAGCATGTGTGATGAGGGCAGGCTTTCCATCAGCTCAAGCCCCATTGGTTGACAGCTTCTTCATCTGTCAGTTCAAAGGCCAACCAGGCCGTGTGGCAGCAAGATGAAACCAACAATGCCCATGCATTCGTTGAAAACAGTTGTACTGTATCCTGCAGGCCATTAGCCCAGTGTGCACCCCATTCTTTTCTTTTCTCCTTTCTTCATCAAAACCGTAATGCCAACAGGCATTTGCTTCACCACAATGGCCAAAATGGCCTTAGGAAGGTCGCCAAGCGCAACTAAAGGCGGCCCCCCTTTTTCTTCCCTTCCACCACTTTCCTTCACATATTGAGCTCCCGTTCCCGGAGCTCCTGCAGGCATCGAACACATGGGGCATACTTCTTCTCAGCTCCAGTTGAACATGCCGGTGGTCTGGCAGCATCCACATGGTAGATCTCGCCTCATCCACGAGACCAAAGGTGTTCACCTCTTCGGACATGGGCCATGTCGATGGTGAAGGCGCAACGGTGGCATGGAGGGGAGGTTCGGAGCACGGATGAGGTGAGCGTAGGGCAAGAAGTGAAAATATGGTACTTTTGCCCATACTTGGTGATGTAGACACCCATCCCTTGGTACCTCCGGCCTCCATCCCCGATTGGCGGTTCGCCATCACGTTGAAATGCCCTTGGGCATGCCTTTGCAGCCGCTTCTGAAGGACCTGTCGGTCTCGGTTGAGGTGGTGTTGGATCCCATGCTTCATCGGCCATCATATCACGGTAATCCCTCTCTGTAGGGTGGTAGAGAGTCTCATCCTCATTGGCCGGAGACTCTTGTGGTGGAACCTCGGGTGGTACTTCATGATCGCCAGCAGGAATCTCCTGCTCAGGCTCTTCTTGGATGCCAGTGAGCGTGACATCCGACTGAGGCTGGGAGGCTTGTCCGGATGAGCTCGAGGTCGGAGGTATGCCAGCCTGTGCCCTCTCTTCGGGAGTGAGAGAGGAAAGCCATCGCAGCAACCATTGAGGATCTCCTTTTCCCTGCCCTTTTCCTTTTCTCTTTCCTTTTGATCTGGCACTAGGCCTATTGACTTCACGGCCTTGCCAGTCAACGGTGATGGAACTTCCCTGGGATTCCGACGTGGAACTACCAGGTGGCCCAAGTGCCGAGGGCTCATATTGTTGACCAGCAGCAGCGTCACCATCATTGATAGCTGGTGCCAGCAACCAAGCACAGAAGCGCCTGAAAAGCAGGGTGGCCAAGATGACAAGGATGGTGTACAGCATCATGAACATTTGAAGCGGCTCAGAACCAGCTTGGTCAGAGGGATTCTCGTCTTCATCACTCTGATTTCCTTGGGCCCTTGATTTGGCGATGAGTGCCATAAGCACCGCCAGCTGCAACTGTCGGCCGCTGTAGTTCATCATCTTTTGCATTCCTTCATCTTCCTTTCTTCTTTCTTCGCTTACTGCCTCTGGGCCATCCTCCTTTTCTTCCTTTTCTTCACTTGTCGCCCCTGGG